CTCTGTGAGTTCGAGGCCAGCCTGGTCTACCTAGGAACTTCCAGGACAGCCAGGGCTACATAGTGGGATCCTTCCGTCTCAAAACAGAAACAAAAATGAAAACAACAGAACAAAAACAACAACAACAACAAAAAAAACCCAAACCAGACAAAAACACAAAAACAACAATGAAAGCCTCCTTAAAATTTTGTTTTGTGTGTGTGTGTGCATGTGTGTGCGCACGTGTATGTGTGTGTGCCCGCACACGAGTGTGATTGTGCATGTGTGAGCGTGTGCGTGTGTGAGCGTGTACGTGTGTGAGTGTGTGAGTGTGTGTGTGTGTGTGTGTGTGTGTGTGTGTGTGTGTACAGGTACCCCAGAGGCCAGACAGAAGAGGGCATTGGATCTGCAGGAGCTGGAGTTACAGGCAGTTGTGACCTACTTGAGGTGGGTGCCGGGAAGCAGATTCAGGTCCTCTGGAAGAATAACGCGCACCCTTAACCTCTGAGCCAGCTCCCCAGCCCTTTGATTTTAAAACATTAGAAAGCCAGGCCAAGACAAGAGTGCCTGCTGTACCTACTGCTGGCCAGTGGCACTGCGGAGGCGGGGAGAAGGCAGCCCCAGAGGCCGTTTCCGTTAAAGGAAGAGCAGAGCGACATTACCGCCGCCTGTCTGGATGGTGATGACTGTCTCAGCTTTTATAATTAGCAGATTTTCTGCATTTTAATATTTTATGTCTTCTTAATTAAAAAGCAACCCAGGATGATGAGGCCTGAATCTGATTGGTGAGGTAGCCTCTGCTAAAATAGAGACTCATGGGGGCTGGAGAGATGGCTCACTAGTTAAGAGCTCTGGCTGCTCTTCTAGAGGACCTGGTTCGTTTCCTAGTGCATACATAACAGCAAACAACCACGTATAATTCCAGTTCCAGGGGACCCGACAGCCTCCTCAGACCTCCCTGGGCACCAAGCAACCTGGTACACACACATACTTGCAGACAAACACTCATACACACCCTCCAAATAAATCAAAAGAAAAAGATGACAGCCTACAGGAGGCCCAGGGAAACACGTGATGATGAGCACTCCCAGAATAGGGTGTCATAGTGTCCTTATTTCTCTGGGGGTATCCATACTGCCCACCCCATATCCTGTATTCCCTCTCTGTCCCTTAGACTCATTCAGGTTGACCTCTCTCTCCTTATGCTAGTTTATGTTTAAGTACTGGGAGGCTGTCAAGAGTGTAATTTATAAAGAAAGCTGTTCAAATTAATTATGCCATGAGTTTTAGTGTTACAAAGTACACTGACTTCTTTTTTAAAGCCACTAATAACTATAAAATAAAAACTGCAATAATCAAAGTGTGTTATTTTGGATAAATCAAGGCCCACTAATATATTTATATTTTTGGCTTCATCTACTAGGACAACAACCCAAAAAGCAACTAAAAACTCGGGAACTTCTATTTTAGCGGTGGAAAAGAGATTTCTAGATTATTCTGACAGAGCCCTATCTGCCAACAGCCAGAGAGGGATGAGCTGCTTCAAATGGGTTTGCAGAAATGACTTCCTTTTTTAAAGTAGCTCTGTCAGCTGGGAGCGACAGCAGAAAAAGGACCAGCTTGCTGAATGGGGATGTGCTGGAGTCGGCCAGAGCGGCCGTCACAGCTCTGTAATTGGCGATCCTGCTGCAGCCAGAAAAGCCTAAGTGAGCGGAAAATCTATAGTACTGTCAGCTACCTCTAGCTCAAAGTGCTTATGGGAGCGATTTTAAGTTCTGACTGCTGATAGGGTACTCACTGGTTTGGACCTTAGTAGAACGCAATGGGGTCCTGGGTTCTGCCTTTGTTATTTCCGAGTTCCCTGGGAGCATTGTTGTAGAGACCTAAGCTATGAACTGGTTACAGTTCTTCATTATATCCACAGACTTGTCAGGGTCGAACTAGTCTGTATGGAGGCCTCTTGAGAAACTCAAAGTGGTGAATAAGGGACCAGAGAGAGGGTTCAGAAGTTACAAATGTTAGCCGCTCTTGCAGAGGCCCAGTTCGTTCTAGCACCCACATGGCAGCTCACAATCATGCAACACCAGTTCCAGGGGATCAAACACGCTCTTCTGGGCTCCATGAGTACCAAGAACACATGTGATGTGCATACTCATAAGATTTTTTTTTTTTTTGAAAAATCTTGAAGAACCAAAACATTAAATAAAAGTGACAAACAAAAGAGAACTATTACAGGTATCTAGTACTGTGTTTTTTAGATTTAAACTAGCCTGAGCTTGAAATTTTGGCTTTTTTTTTTTTGCTTATTGTTATATATTTCACACAATATTTTCCTCTTCTCCTTCCCTCCCCTCCTCCCCTCCCTCCCTTCCTTCTTCCCTCCCTCCATTCTTCCCTTGATAGAGTCTCATTAGTTTTCCTGAACCAGCTTCAAATCCACAATCATCATATCTCTGCCTCCTCAAGTGCTAGCATTACAGGTGTGCACTACCATATCCAACTTTACACGTGTCTCTTGAAGGCATCTGACCCTCTGTTTTTCCCAGTCTACTACTGATAGTAATGTTGATCTTATGCGGGGCACTGAAGGTGCAGCAAGCTGTGGATGATACCTACTGTTATAATTACAAAGGCAATTAGACTCGTGCTAACTTTGTATTTTAACAGCAGAGGTAGCAGAGACAGAAGCTATTCAGTATCTTACTCAAATTATTCACTATCAACAGTATCTTTGAGGCATGGAGACACTTGGTTAATCCTGGATGTCACTGAAGAACAGGGTTAAGATTCTGGGCTGGACTCAGTGATTAAGAGCACCAGCTGCTCTTGCAGAGGTCCTGGGTTCAAATTTGGGTACCCATATAGCAACTCAAAACCAACTGAAACTCCAGTTCCAGAGTATCTGATGCTCTCTTCTGAACTCCTTGGGCATCAGGCACATAGCATGTGGTGTACATACATACATGCAGGCAAAACATCCCCACATAAAGTAAAAAATTAAAAAGAGTGTTCTTCCATGCATAATAGTGAATTAGATCATTTAAATGTCTAACAATAGAGACTGGCTAAGAATAAGGGCTGGGGATGGTAGAGGTGGAATGCTGGTGGCCATGTCAGAGGAGCAGCAGGTGGCAATTGACTTCAGGGTGTCAGCCCACCAGGAGGCAACTCCCTGAAGGATGAATCTCGGATAGGCAAGGTCCCAAGACCACTGATGCCAGAATATCTTTTGCTCCTGCTGTGCCTTCACATGTTTGCTGCTGCCATCTTTCTCTGGTATCTGGCACAGTGTGAATGGGTGTGGGAGATCCCCACTGCCTGTAATATAGTGTGTTTATCTCATGGAAACACCCCATTCTACTGGGCATTTTTAGCTGCGGATTATTATGAAGATGATTTCTTCCTAAGCTGTACTGTCTAATTGATAATAATGTTAGTTTACATAAAGTTTTGGTGATTAAAAATATAAACAAGGAAGTGTCACACAGCTACAACACATGAGTTTCTATTGAGGAGCTGTGTAGACTTAGGTTAATGATTAAGAAAAACAACTGAGTCCTGGTTAGCTCAGCTAGCTTAAATTCTTATAACCTGAATGTTGGGAGATGTGTTCAAAGGTTTCGGAGTGCATCAAAGCTGAAACAATGCTTTGAAAATAACTTAAAGTTAGACTAAGATGTTTTTGTCAAGTAGCTTTGAGGTAAAAAAACCCAAGAAGACAATCGAACGTTTTAGAAAGGCACATAGTTGAATGGGAAACTCATTAAAGTCAGGGAACAAGAACAAAGCGGTCCAGTTATCATTGGCTGATGTGCCTTTCTTGCTAGGATTGGTTGATGACCAAAGGTGATGATTAATTCCTTGTACCCATTTCTGCCCTCAATCTCCTGATATAAGAAACTACTGATGAGTGGGTGTGCACCCCAAAGATTTAAAGTAGAGCTGACTGATTCTTTTTCATATATAAAAGTTTAGGTTTGTGATTCCTTTAAGATTCCTTATAAGATTACCTTTTGAGATAAGTAATAGAGTGATTGGCCCCTTTCTTTGTAACTGTAAAATGCAGCCTGCCAGTAAGAGACCTGCCTGAGAAGACTGTCTTGTTTGCCTACACGGTTAATCTATAACAAGTTGCTTGGGTACAAATGTATGTGGGTTCTCAGAATGATTTGGTTTTTGCCTGTAATATGTAAAATGTTTTTTTTCCTGTTCACTTTGTATTCATTGTAATCATTCACTTGAAAAGCAGAATGTAACCATATTGTAATTTTTATATTTCCTGAAAGATTTTGCTGGGGTATATAAGCTGTAAGTGAAAGAATAAAGATAGAGCTAAAATGAGTTAGAAGGAAAACATCAGGAATAAAGATAGAGAAGAAAAACATCAAAAATGATAGAAGAAGGAGCTGGAGCTCAGTGGTTAAGAGCACTGGCCACTCTTCCAGAGGACTTGGGTTCAATTCCCAGCACACATGGCAGCTCACAACTGTCTGTAACTCCAGTTCCAGGGAATCTGACACCTTCACACCACACCCATTCACATAAAATAAATTAAAAAAATAAAAAGAATGAGAGAAGGAAATCACCAGGAAAATAAAGAATAGAGAATGCAAAAGAAGAATAAAGAAAAGATCTTAAAGAAACACACACTCAAGTGTGTGTGTGTGTGTGTGTGTGTGTGTGTGTGTGTGTGTGTGTGTGTTTCCCTAACCCCCTCAGATAAAAAGTCTAGTATGCGCCGACTCTGTGGATTCCCTTCCAGGCCTGTGCTACTGGGCGCTGGTCCCCCAGGCAGCGATAGTGGTGAGCTGGCTCAGCAATTAAATGCAGATATCAATCGTTCAAAGGACCAGCATCTGGTTCCCAGCACCCACATTGTGTGGCTCGCACCTGCCAGTAACTCCAGTCCCAGAGGATCCAACGCCCTCTTCCCGCCCCTGAGGGCACCAACTTTCATGTACACATACTCACATGTAGACACACAGGCATACGATTAAAAATACGATTAAAAATAAAAAATAAATCTTAAAGAAAGAAAAGGGACTAGGGATGTACATTAGTAGTTGAGTGCTTGCCCAGTATGGTTAAGTCTCTGGGTTTGATTCCCAGCAACCCATGAATATATGGGGGGAGGGAGCAGAGAGAGAGAAAGAGAGGAAGTGGGGAGGGGACGGTCATGATAGAGGGACACACAATTACTAAAAATCCTGTTGGAGTGTAGAGACCTCAAATGCCTTCAGGTGACTGTTAAGTGCACTAAATGTGGGATGGTACTCGGGAGTGGGGAGGACTGGTCACCTGGAGAATTTGTGCTCTGCTGGAGCGCTTTAACATTGACATTCTGGAAATGGATGTGCTGCCAAGAGGAGCTACAGCTAGAATTTTGCTTACAAGTGTACTGTTGAAGATTAGAATGTAGAAGGATACTTAGGTTTTTGTTTTTGTTTTTTCGAGACAAGTTTTCTCTGTGTAGCTTTGGAGCCTGTCCTGGATCTCACTCTGTAGTCCAGGCTGGCCTCGAACACACAGAGATCCGCCTGGCTCTGCCTCCCGAGTGCTGGGATTAAAGGTGTGTGCCACCGCTGCCTGGCCACTTAAGGTATATTTTTAATTGACAAAAGCAAGTAAGAAAACCATAACCAGGGCCTAAGGCTCTTAGTCGGGGTGGAGGGCTTGCCTAGCGTGCATGGGGCCCTGGTCCATAGTCAGGGTCACATAAAGAAAAGAAAGTGTAGGCATAGAATTATTCCAGTATTTTTCTTTTTTATTATTTTATGTGTGTGAGTGTTTTACCTGCATGTATGTCTGTGCACTGTGTGTGTGCCTGGTGCCTGTGGAGGCCAGAAGAGGGTCTTAGATGCCCTGGGACTAGAGTTACAGGCAGTCATGAGCCAGCATGTGGGTGTCGGGAATCAAAGCCGGGTCCTCTGGAAGAGCAAGAAGAGCAGCCGTTGCTCTTAACTGCTAAGCCATTTCTCCAGCCCCCAAAATAAAATAGACACAGAAATGGAAATATATATGTGTATATATATATATATATATATTTACATATATATTTTATATATGTAGATAGTTAATAGATGATATAATAGCCATCTCTCTAGTACTGTTTGCAATAAGTTTTTAAAGTATGTTTACAGGTATAACCATTTTCTGCCTATTGATCAGTCCGTGTTAACTATTTGGAAGGCTATTTGTCAAAATAATAATAGAAAATACATAGGCCTTATCATAGTCAAGGGTTGCTTTAAGCATGTATACTAACTAACTAAGTCTAGATAGAACTAATGAGTATCATGCTACCCTTGTTTCTCCAGTGGCAGAGCTGAGACAGAGCGATTATCCCCTAAGGACAAACAACTAAAAAGTGATGAGATGGGACTCAGACGTAGACAGCAGGGACCGGCTCTGGACTGCTATGCTATGTTGAAATAAAGATGTTATGATTTATGACTTTGCTCCGGTTTGTGTGTGCTTTTTATTTTTTTCTTGTGGATTCTGGTGCTTCACTTTTCTGTGCTAAGCATGTATCTCAGAATCAGGAAAAGCACAATATTTTGTTTAAAAGAATCCACAATTATCGTCCACGCGTGTGCTGCTTTGGGCTCCTCTAATTGCTGTTCTCTGTTAATGAGAATTAGTTTGTGTGGTTTGCTGGCTGAAAGCTTAGGCCCCGAAGGAATGAAAAATAGGACAGGTGAGTTTTACAGAGGGAGAGGAAGGCAGACAGGAGTAACCAGGCCTGCGGGCCCACAGAATTCAGTTGAGCTGGAATCAGAGAGCGTAAGTTAATGAGCACACTGTGGGGGCTGTCACTGAGAAAAGTCTGGTGCAGGCCTGCCCCATTCACTTAAAATGTGGTGGTGCATTGCTCTTCCCAGTCACTGGAAACTGTCTTCAGTTTATTTCATAGCTATCCATCGTATTTCCCGGCCCAATGGAGCACACAACAATTAATAAGGGAGACAATAAAGATATATAATAATCACTGATAGGTCTGAAGAGATGGCTCAGTGGTTAAAAGTACTGACTGCTCTTCCAGAGGACCCGGGTTCAATTCCCAGCACCCACATGGAAGCTCACAACTGTCTGTAACTCCAGTTCCTGAGACCCAACACCCATGGCAAAACGCCAATGTATGTGAAATTAAAATAAATAAATAAATAAATAAATAAATAAATAAATAAATAAATAAATAAATAAAAAACCACCGATAAAAAGCTTTGAAAGGTTGAAATAGCGAGAGCTCTACTCATCTAATTGAGGGAGGGGTGGTGTGGGAGGCGTGATGCGTCAGAGTCTCACTATGTAGCCCTGGCTGCCCCGAAATTCTCGGTGTGTACCAACATGGCATCTAACTTGTGAAGGTGCCTCTGACTGCTGGGAGTCCAGGCATGGCCCCCACCCCCAGCTTATCCTTTACTCTTAGATACTGAGAAGATGAAACGGTAAAGCAGACACAGCTCCTACCTTCACACGGCTTATATTCTAAAAATCGAGACAGAGAAATCATTATGACTTAGTCCAGAAAAGGAAATGAACCGTCCAGGTCAGTTTATAACTGGATGAAGCCAGGATACCCAAAAGAATATGACAGGCCAGTCTTTCTTGTGAATGCAAGCACAAAGTCTTAAATATTCCTAGCATGTAAAACCATCAGTGCAGTGGAAGAATTGACCCACTGTGACGAAGCAGGCTTCACTCTATGTAGAAATGTTTTAATATTAATCTTAGAGAGTCTACCAATAAAATTCACTAGATCCTTTATATAGTAGAGGTGGTTAAGATACACGATCATCTTAACAGACCCATTAAAAAAGGTTTGAGCGGGGCGGTGGTGGCACACGCCTTTAATCCCAGCACTCAGGAGGCAGAGCCAGGTGGATCTCTGTGAGTTCGAGGCCAGCCTGGGCTACCAAGTGAGTTCCAGGAAAGGCGCAAAGCTACACAGAGAAACCCTGTCTCAAAAAAAAAAAAAAAAAAAAAACCAAAAAAAAAAAAAAGGTTTGAATCTGGCTGTGATGGATCGTGCCTGTAATCCCAGGACGGAGAAGGTGAATGTGGGGGTCCCTACATCATCACGGCTGTCAGGGAACCAAACCACATGAGGCAAGAAGGAAACTCAGTTCAGCATGACTTCGTGAGCTGGCGTTGGTTCAGACTTCTGGAGTCTGACACCCGGTGGTTTATTTAGATACACGGAAGTACAGTAGCAATGATCCCAGCCCATTGTACACAATAAGCTTAAGGTATGACTATACTGAAACTCTTTTGCCAAGTACATGTGACTTCTACCATGCACACGGGTTCTATAGTTTAGGGGCCCCGGACCTGGTGTGGTCTCTGACAGAGACAGTGTAGTGGCCAGCAGTCTATAAAGCACAGGTGACATCTCCCTAAGGATGGGCTCTCTTGGCAGAGAAGCAAAGCTAAAGATAAAGGTCTCGGGAGGGAGAGTCTGGGGTAAACGTTCCGGGGGATTTGGGGGAGGTCTGGCCCTACAGATAGGAAAGGTCACCAGGTCATTAACACCACCCACTCCCAGCCTTCTGGGTGGCAAACAGGGGTACATCTCCTGCACTGAGGAGACAACCCGTGTGATTAACATCCTGGTTTCTCCAGCGCTTATCTGTGTACACGCTTGAGGCCTGCAGGAGAAAGCAGGAGGCTCAGGATCAGGAGCTCAGGGTCAGTACCTGCTACGGAACAATTTGAAGGCTTGAGCAACCCAAGACCCTGCCTCAAAAAACAAGCACAATGCTGGGTGTGGTGTCACCTCCCGTCCATCCCAACACTCGGGAGGCAATGTGACAACGTAAGTGTGCACACTGGAAACAAAAAATGTCTATTCGAAGATGACATAATGAGGAGCTGGAGAGACGGCTCCGTGGTTGAGAGCACTGACCGCTCTTCCAGAGGACCCGAGTTCAATTCCCAGCACCCACATGGCAGCTCACACTGTCTGTAACTCCAAGATCTGACACCCTCACACAGACATACATGCAGGCAAAACACCAATGCACATAAAATTATAAATAAATAATAAAAAAGAAAACAACATAATGATCTACATGAAAAAAAAACTGATGAGTAAAAAATTAATCGAAGCCAGTCAGAGTAGGCTGACATATTAAAAATTTGGAAATATTTTTCTTTAATATTCATACATGTACTTAATATGTTTGGATCAAATCTACTCCTCATTCCTGTCCCTTCAGTTCTTCCCCATCTGCTACCACTTTCCCTGCCTACGCTTCACGTTTTTCCTCTCTCCCTCTCTCCTTCTCTCTCAGTGTTGCCTGTGTGTGCCTGAATGTGGGACCAAAATTGTTTATTATTACACTGTATTGATTGATTGATTGATTGATTGCGTGCGCGCGCGCGTGCGTGCGTGCGTGTGTGTGTGTGTGTGTGTGTGTGTGTGTGTGTGTGTAGTCAAAGGGCAGCTTGCAGGAGTCAGTTCTTTTTCACCATACGGGTAGCGAGGATTGAACCAGGTCACCAGGTTTGACAGGATGACGTTTACCCCTGAGCCATTTCACCTGCCCCCAAATGGTTTGCTATACAGCAGATACCGAGAGCATGAAACCACTCTTTGCTTTAGGTGACCCTCATGTCAACCAAACTGAAGAAGATTCAGAAACTTTGGGGCCATAAAGCTACAGCTTTGGGGGACACTGGATGTATCCAGAAGGCTGGGTAATGCTGGTTGCATGCTCACCCACAGGATCAACTTCAACAAATATTACTAGGTAACTGGGAAAGTTGACCTGAGGCATTACCACTTAACTGCCAGCCTGGATAAACTGAGGACCACTAGTCCATGAGCAGACACTGGTCAGTGGCCCCCAAGAGGAAGCTGATGCACCAACAGTTTGACTGTGGGGTCTGATGCTAAACGATGAATGTGGAGAATGTGAGCATTAAGGCAGAAGCAGATACAGAAGATAGTTGCTGTTATGGATCTCGGGATTTTAAGGGTTTTTTGTTTTTGTTTTTGTTTTTTTTTTTTTGTGTGTGTGTGTGTGTGTGTGTGTGTGTGTGTGTGTGTGTGTGTGTTTTGTTTTTTTCCCCTTTGATCTCATTCTGTAGACCAGGCTGGCTTCAAACTCACAGACATCCTCCTGGCTCTGCCTCCCGAGTGCTGGGATTAAAGGTGTGCACCACCACAGCCCGGGCAGGATTTTAAGATTTCAGAGATGACGATGCGCTGAAAGAAAACCTAGGCTTTAGAGACCCCGGTGTGATTTCCCTGCAACATGGCCTGGGGTGAGTTACCTACATCTCCGATTATTGTTTTCTTTGTACAAAGGATGGGGAGCCAGGAGAAGCTACTGTGTGGCTTTATTCGCATGAGGAACTCAAGCAGTCAAGACCACAAAGACAGAAAGAGAATGTACGAAGGCAGGAGGAGACCGCAGAGGCTCCTGGGAACTCCCGAGGTGGCAGTCTTTCCTGAGATCTCTCCTGTGTTTCGCCTTCTTTAATTCAGCTAAGACCACGTTCTGGGGGTTTATACAATGCCTAAAGGCTTACATTTAAAAGAAGAGCTGTCGAGGACACCAAGGGAAAGAATATCAACCACCCTTCTTTCCCTATGGCCTGGGGGTATTCTGTTACAACACAACCGGTAGCTGTTGCTGTTTACTTCTGTTTAAATATTTATTTATATCCTAACGTGTATGGATGAGTGTCTGCATGTCTCTGTAAGCACACCAACCGTGTGCCTGCAGTGTCCACAGAGGCCAGAAGAGGACGGTGGGCCTCCTAGAACTGGAGTTACAGACCATTCTAAACTGCCATGTGGGAGCTGGGACTTGAACTCAGGTCCTTGGGAAGAGCAAGTGCTCTTCACCACGGAGCCCCGTCTCCAGTCTGTTCCTACGTGATTGTTTCTGTGAGGCTTTTGCTCTCAAACCTCTATATTCACGTTTATAATTCTTGTCACGTATCTTAAGCTCAGCTAAGAAACAATCAAGAATGATCTCTGTAGTCTTTGAGAACACGGAGGGCCGAGTGCAGAGTAACAGTGTCACCCCTGCTTAGGACTCTTCGTCAAGCCATCTGCTCCCAGTCCTTGTCACCTCATCCCTAAGCCCTTTATCCTCTTTACTGCTCTTCCTATTTACGATAATGTCACCTCCTAAGCCTGGGCACCCTTTACTCCCCAGAATGCAGAGGCCGTAAACAGGGCCACACTCCCGCCAGGAAAAACGGTTGCTGTGGTGGTTTTTGTTTGTTTGTTTGTTTGTTTTTTGTTTGTTTGTTTGTTTGTTTTTCCTGGCCTCAGAAAAAAATTTAAAATGGCTCCATTGGAGGAGACCTGGAGTTTGTAATATGTAATAAAGTCCAGATTCTCAGAAAAGTGAAGCAGGTTGTATAGAAGTTTTATATAAAGGCAGGATCTGTATTATGAAAAATAATTATTAAAGAATTTTAAAGGCTGTATA